CAGCATTTTATAACAATAAATGGAGTATAACCTTTAAAAATTGTGAATCATCATATTGTGCACCTGTAACTTACATAAAATTGTACATAACTATACTTCAATAAAAAGTAATAAATGGAAAAAAATGTTTAAAAGAGTCTGGAATTTTGCATGCTTCCTTTTCTCCGTAAAATTGTATTTCCGCTCGACTTCCACAACAGATTTTATCCTGTTTATATATGTGTGTGTGTGTGTGTGTGTGTATGCATATGTATATCTATATATATCAATGAAAGACATTCAAATATATATATATATATGAAATGTCTTTCGTTGATCAGCCCTTCATACTTATTTGTTACCAAATATGCCCATTAATTGAAATTATATAACTAAAGATTTTTGCCTTTGACCACAGGTCTTCAAGTGGTAAAAACTTTTCTTTTGGATTAAGTTATTATTGTTATATGATTAACCAATACAACAAAATATATGATCTATTTTTATAAGTAATTATCAAACACTCAAATATTTTTGGAAATGCATCTATTAATGAGATAGAATGGGGCTGTAAAATTAATGAATGAATATTTTTATTGCAAGAATGAGTTAGAATTTAACATCTGTTTCAGGCCAATTTTTTATTTTTATAGATGCAAGTAATTAGAAACCTTGGGAATGGAAGGAGTTCTGTCAGAATGTCACTCCAGTCTTTCAAGTCTTCCAAATTAACTGTTAAAAATTATACTGTGGTCATTATTCTGAATAATCTATCAGCTGACGATTAGATTCTCCTTCAATTTTGTTTAAAGCAAACGTTAGACTCATTCACTTCCTCAGTTTCTGGGAAGACTGCCATAAAAGATTTGACCAAGAGTTTTCATGTGACTATTAATTGCACCCCTGACACTTTCTCTCCGGCACTTTGGTTAACCCAAGATACTCAGAATCGCTTAGGTCAATTAAAACACTATTCATTTTAATATATCTTCCAGTGTTATATTTTTTATAAAGTGCTTTCATCATATAACAAGTTTTAACCATGTTTTCATCAAAACTTTGAAGCCACAGATTTGACTCATTTAATTTATGGAAATGTTTGCCATGTAACATAATTGGAAATGCCAATCTTTTATTCTCAGCTAAAGCAGGCGAATCAGACTTGTTTCTGTCAGAAAGAATCTAATTTTATTTTTCAATTCATATAAGCAGGTTAGAATGCATCTTGATGACACCGATCTTATTTTTTATTCTTAATTCTAAGAAAGGTAGAGGTAGATGGATAGGGATGTATGTAGACTAGACAGACAGAGAGATGGATGAAATCAGGAATTCAATCCTAATTAATGCACCTTGGCCCTGGTATCAGGGAGCAATCCCTGGACAGTGGTGCATTCTCCAAAGGAAGGAGGGTGTTCAGTGAGAAATGCCTTAGCTCCTGATACCCCACTGTACAATCCAGGACAAAATTCTCTGCTTCTGATGCCTTGTTTTGCTTTCAACTATTTCTCTATCTCTGTCTCTATATCTACATCTCTATAGTTCAGGGAAGGCCCAAAGCCCTCCTTTGGGCTTATAATGCCATGATTAAAAGAAGCTTTGAGGACAGTATTTCAGATTGTCCCTGATTGATGCCCCAGAGGTCTCTGTACCATAGGCTTCAAGAAGGGGCGAGTGTTTGCTTTTATTTTATAACATGAGAGAGAAGTGAGGAACTGACCGTGGCTCACCGACTGTGCTTTCCCAGGAAGATAATGTGAAAAGAGAGAACACCAGTTCCCTTGAGGCCCTCCAAGCCCATATTTGTTTTGGAAAGTTTAGGGCTGGGGTGTGGCGGTGGGAGGGGCATATGTGTTCAGTCTGAAGACTTCCACGCTAAGACTACCTTGGCTTTTACAATGATGAAAGAAATCCTGCTTCTGGCTTTTTTAGGGGGGTGGGGGTGGAGCGGAATCCTTCATATGATTTCTTCGTAAAGTCTGTATGATATTGCGCTGTATGAAAGGACCATCGTGTATTTAACCCAGTCCCCCATGATGGTTATTTTACATTTTTTTTTCAATCTTATTCATGATTACAAATAATGCTGCAATGAGTCACTCTGTACATACTCTTTGGAGCACATATGGGTAGAAGTTCAGAGGGTAAATCCTAGATGTGGGATTGCTAGGTCAAAGAGTACAGGCGTTTACGCTTTTGATGGGCAGAGGGCACTGCTATATCAGAAGCATGAACACCCGTGCTCTCTGACCCAGCACTCCCACCTCTAGGCTTTACTGGCTAATGCTGCACCTGTTTACACTCCCACCGCAGGGACTAGGGCTGCCTGTTGTCCCTCCCTCTGCCCAGCACCTCGTGTTAGCAAGATCTTTGCCAACAGGAAGGGTGAACAGTTATATCTCCAGGTAGCTTTGTTTTGCACTCCTCTCACTGTGGGTAAGTCCGTCATCTTTTCGTATGTTTACACCTCAGTGTAATTCCTTTTCTGGGAAATGTCTGTTGATGCCTTTTGCTCGTTTTTCTGTGGGATTATAGTCTTTTTCTTGAATTGGATTAACACTACTAAGGAAATTAGCTCTTTTTCTGTCTGAAGGGTTGCACAAATTTTCTCAGTTCATCGCTTGCATTCTGATTTCAGCTATGCCTTCTTGTGTGTGTTGTGTAGAAATCTCTAATTTTTATGTAGTCAGATTTACCAACCTATGGCTTTTGAATTTTATGTCACACTTAGAAAAACTCACTCTAAAATTATTCTTTTTGATTCTCCCATGCTTTCTCTCTCTCTCTCTTCTTTTTTTTTGTCTGTTTTCTCAATATTTTAAAATCCTTGATTCATCTGGAAATTATTTTTCCTGTAGGAGGCAGACAGGAATCTGCTGTGACCACCTGCGGCAGAATATGATATCCATTTGGTCTTTATCCCTGGTCCTCGCATAGAGCTCCTGAAACCCTTGGAGATTCCCACATGATGGGGGTGTCTTATCCTTCCCATGGTGCCCCCTTGGGCTTTATGCTAATGAGGTGACTTAGGGTAGGGTCCCTAGATGGGTTCAGGTAGGGCTGGTCACCAGAAAGATCAAGTGAAGAGAGGGATGGAACTTCCAGCTCTGTTGGCTGGCCTCTGAGAAAGGGGTCGGGGGAACTGCAGATTAAGCTCTATCAAAATTCTTGAACAATGAGATTTCACAAGTTTCAGGGTTGGTGAATACACCCCAGTTGCATGGGGACGGAAACTCCTACACTCAGGACTCTTCTCTCCTCACCCTCTCTTCGTCTGGCTGTTCTTCTGTGTTCTTTATAATGTCCCTTATAATAAGCTGGTAAACTCAAGTAAACGTTTCTCTAGTTCTGTGAGTCACTCTAACAAATTAATCAGACCCAAGGAGGGGGTCATGAGAACCTCCAGTGTACAGCTGGTCAGTCAGAAGCACAGGCAAACTGGACTTGCCGCTGGCGTCTAAAATAAAGTCAGTCTTGTGGGACTGAGCTCTCAGTCTAGTCCAGCCCTGATGCCATCTCCAGATAGATATTGTTAGTAGAGAGTTAAATTTCTAGGACGCCCAGTCAGTGTCTGCTGTGAACTGGAGAACTGCTTGGTGGTGTTGGAAAAAACCCATCAGACCACCTCATGACGAGACCCCAACACCATTTATGAAGTTAGCCCTTCCTCCACTGGCATCAAACCCATTTCAGCACAGGCACAGTCTTTTGAGTCTGTCCACTGACCTGTCCTCCTCATGCCTAGGACTCCACTGCCTTTAGTTCTGCTGGTCCCTATGATTTCTCTTCTCTTTCAAATTTTCTGGCTATTTCTACACACTTACTTCTCATAAGAATTTTGCAATTGGCTCCCTAATTCTCCCCGAAATAAAATAGATATTTTCCCTGGAATAGCTCTAAAATGAATAACTGAACAGGGAGAATAAGACACTTTTTTAATACTAAGTCCCCTGTCTGAGAACAGGCTGTTCTCTCTACTCCTTTGGTTCCACTGCTGCACAATTTTGAAATGCCCAGCAAGGAGCTGCTGGTCCGCCCGGGAGCAGCTGCAGCCAGAGTGTGCCTCCTTGTTCAGCGGGAGCAAGCCACACTGCTCCCCAGGGTGGGGGTGGGGGACCTCTGGGGAGGCCTGGTTAGACAACTTCAAAGCTGAAGGAAGGACAACCGGCCACTTGGCCCATCTTCCCTGAGCCTGTCCAGGCAGCCGCCCCTTCTCTGTTGCAGAGACTTGCAACATTTGCGACTTAATTAAACCTCATCTCCACAGACACATCTGGGGTTAAAAAAACAACACTTCTTCGGAAACTGAGTCAGGCCTTGTCTCCTTTGACATCAACACCCAGGACCCATCCACCATAGGGGAGCCAGCGGACAAATTGGCTCGGACCACATATTCAAGGAAGGCCTCAAATGTACACTCTTCACCCATCATCAATTCAGGTGACTCATGGAAGCACACTGAGACAACTAAAAGAAGATATTCACTAGAAAACTTAAAGTTGAGTCCCATTACCAGACCTCATGCCAGCAAGGCCTTATAAATGTCAAATGTCACACAAATCATGTAACCAACTTATGAATAGCATGGCTGTACTGCAGGCCATTGCCATGTATAAAGGAACACGAAAAAAAAATTAAGCCTATATATTTTGAGTGACGCTTAGCTATCACTCAAACTGTAATTGGTATAATGCTCAAGTTTTATCCAAAACTTTAAAGTTATATCACTTTACCACCTAAATTCTTAATTTTAGGAGAGAGATACCTCAAACAGTGTAGTTTTTGCCTACAAAGAAGTAAAACAGTAGTCAACTGTCTTGCATTTTGTGCTAAAATAAAGATTAAACATATAATTTCTGCAATTCTTTTTTGGCATAACTTCATTATTTCCTATGTCGGAAACCTCCCAAGTGGAAAGTGTCCCAGGGCCCTCTGGAAGGCAGCGAGGCCTGTCAGTGCAGCATCTTGCTTTATGACCACAGGATTAAGAGGATCAGGGTTTAAGCCCTGTGTCAACTTACATAACGATTTCCTTCCGTGTCTGCTCCAGCATCATGTACTGTGTCCACTCCTGCTGAGTCTCATATGTTTTAGACTGATCCACGATCTTTTGGAACATTGTCCTCTTCCTAAAAAACACACCAGTTTGTTAAAGGAGCACATCTTTGAATAAGGCGACACCTGGCCTTCTAATGCTGGCTGTTTTAAACAGAGGCTTATTAAAACAATGTAATTAACAAAACAAGGTTAAAAAAAACCCAAGGCCTGGGAGTGAAGACCTAGCTTCTAACCCAGACTCTACCACGAATTTGTTGTGTGATTGTAGCAAATCTTCCCCCTGGATCTTAGATTCCCCACGTGTGCAAGAGGTAGGCATCTCCACCTCACAGAGTTGCAGTGAGACTTGATGTGTCTGTAGGACAAAGGTGGTGCCTGGCACACAGTGCATACTAAATCAACTAGAACTACGGTGTTTGTTATCATTAGAATTATCGTTATTCTTAAAACGAGAAGAAACACCAACTTGAAATACAAAGCGAGGTCTGTAGCAATGATCGCGATATCCATCATGTGGATTGCATGCTCGTGCTGCCTGCGATTGAGGTTTTGAAAGATATTCAGGTTTTAAAAAAAAAAAAAAACAAAAACCCACAGGAGGGATGTGAGAAGTAATGCTGGCAGTAAAGTCACCCAACTACCGAAGGCTACCCCACGCGATGGGAAGGGCGGCCCAGGCCAAGGCCTGGCCGCATGCGGGCTTCTTGCGAGAGGAGGGCCCTGCGCAGGCCCCACACCAGTGCAGAGGACCCTCACCCTACCTCATCTCTCAGCAGTGTTTTGCCAAACTCCAAGTGGTGTCTTTCCAAGATGGAGGACCCATGGAGCTTGGCCAGTGGGTTCTGAGATCTGAACGCAAGAGAAAGAGAGAGACACAGAGAGAGAAAGAATCAACTTGGAATGGCTGAGATGACGGTTAAAGACATCATACAGTCCTTTCACCTCCGAATTCTGCAAGCAGAGAGGCTGAAGTCCAGGAATAAGAGAGAACTTGTCACTCAGTGAGACAGTGGGAAATAGGACTAGATGTCAGGGGCTTTGGCCCTGAGGCTTTAGCTTTCTCTAGGACTGATTCTGGGCCTCTTTGCAGTCATGGGCTCCCTAGAAAGCCTGTTGAATAGAATGGACCCTTATCCCCAGAAAAAGACTCAAACACACACACACAGCGCCACATGCAGTTTTAGAGATTTACGCATCCATCCCTGTAGCCATCCATGGGTGGGCCAAACTTTGAAGCTCACCAAGCCCCAGGTCCTCTATACCTGAGTCTTAGGGGAGGCCAGTGAATTCCCACAAGCAGTACATTTATTCATGTCTTTATTTGGTAAATATTTTTTGAGCATTTATTATGTGCCAAGCACAGAGATCAGAACTTAGTTTCCCATGGGGTAAAATGTAAGCACAGTCTACTTCAGAGCAGCAGGCAAGAAAGGAGAAGAACTCAGAAAGGATGTTCTAGGGCTTGTTAATGACTTATAGTCAGTTGGCCCCGGGCAGAGCCTCAGTTCCTCACTTATAATACAGGGATAACACTTGTCCCTGCTCTGCCAAGGCCCCAAGGTGGTCATGAGGGTCCACTGAGACTATGGTTCAAGGACTCTGCTTCCGAGGCTGTCTGGAATATCAGTTCTGTGAAGCCAGCAACCGAGTCTGGGTTGCTCACCAGGGTACCTCTTTTGCCCAGCCTAGGGCCTACCACACGGATATTAGGAGCATTATACACACAAGGTGAATAAATGAACCATTATCAGTTACAAGTATCTTGGCTTAAATTAATTCAACAGGCAGGAAGGGAAGGAGCAGAGTGAGAGAATATAATATATTAGTTTCCTGTTGCTGCCATAACAACTTACCAGGGGCTTTATGGCTTAAAACAGTAAAGATTTATTATCTTACAGCTCTGGAGTCCAGGCATCTAAAATGTGTCTGCAGAGCTGCCTTCCTTCTGGAGGCTCTAGGGGAGAATCTGTGTCCTTGCCTTTTCTAACTTCCAGAGGCCCCCTATATTCCTTGGCTTGTGGCCGATCCTCCTCCACCTTCAAAGCCAACAGTTTAACATCTTGTATCTTCTCAGATGTCCCACCTCCTTCTTATAAGGACCCTTCTGACTGTGGGGCCCACTCAGACAACCCAAGATAATTCCAGTCCAAGATTTCTCAGGATCCTCAACTTAATCACATCTGCAAGGTTTCTCCTGAAAGTCAGGCAGCATATTCCCAGTCTCCAGGCATTGGGATGTGGACATATGTGAACATCATTATTCTAGCACAGGTTTACACCCAGATCCAAAGGGCAGGAGGAAGCGGGAAGCTGTGGGCAGCAGGACTTCCCCTTGGCCAGTGGGTCTGTCTGAGGGTCATTCAGCTCTGGGTAGTAAATCCCCGGGAGCAGGAGGCAGAGAGGAGGGCCAGTAAGGGGCGACTCACTTCATCTGGTAGAGGTTGTTGGTACCTCTGTGGTCAATGTCATGGCAGAAGGCAGCCGTGACCATGGCCAAGGCCTCCAGGTCCGTGAAGTATCGCTTCAGCTTTCCAGTCTAGAAAGGCGATCAGAGATGCCACTCAGTCCTTTCTTGGGAGAGTTGGAAGCAGGGCTGACAGGGCAGGCGTGAGGGAGATAGCCTGGAGCTTGGAAATATAGGTCTGATCTTGGCTGTACACCTGGAGCCACAGGGTGACCACATGTTTGCTGGGACTGAGGGATTTTTCTGGGATGAGACTTTCTGTGCTGGAAAGGGACAGTCCCAAGCCAACAAGGATGGTCGGTCACCTTACTGTCGAGTGACCTTAGCTGTTCCCATCTCTTGCTGGGCTTCAGTATCTCAATCTGCACACTAAAGGTAGAGGGCATTGGACTAGATGATTGTTGAGAAACTTGTAGCCCTTGGGTTTTAGGATTTAGAGGATTTGTGAACATGGCCAGACTGGTAAAACAAACTTTCCAAACCTGGTCTACTGGTTTAAGCACAGACCAGAAGAATGTTTCGGTGAGCCTCCTTCAAATACTTAACTCCTTGTTTACGCTCGGTATTGAAGTAAAGGGCGGAAAGAGCCCTGGGGAGGTGATGCAGACAGACTCTGTGACTCTATGAAATAAATCAAGTCTAAGCGGTGTGTTTTTCACTTTCAGTGGCAGCTTGGCCAGAATTCCTGCCTCTAGGCTGTAGTGGTCTGACCTGACCAATCCAGCCAAGGAATGAGCATGAGGAGGCTAGGTCAGGGCAGAGGTTTGCGTCAAACGTGGTTGGGAAAACCCTTTTAAGTGAAGTGTAAGAACTCCAAACCCTCTGAGTCAAAAGGCCTGACACATATACACAAAGGCTATGTCCATTCAAGGAGACCGTGGCCCTGTTTATAAGTGAAAGATCAAAAACAACCCGCTGTCCAACAATAGGGGGCTGAGTAAAGAAATGACGGTATGTGTTTAAACAACACAGAATAGAATGAGGCCATACAGTGAGATCATGGGTAAGCCTTGAAAACATTATGCTAAGTGAAAAAAGTCACAGAAGGGCAAATACTCTATGAGTCTACTTATGTGAGGTATCTAAGTAATCGGATTCACAGAGACTGAAAAAAGAATGATGATCACCGGGGCTGCGGTCAGGGGAAATGGAGAGTTGCATAATGTTGCTGTTTAATGGGGACAGGGTGTCTGTGGGGGAAGATGAAAAAGTTCTAGAGGTGGTGACTAGTGATGGCTGCACAGCACTGCAAACATACTTAGCGCCACTACACTGTACACCTATGAATGGTTAAAATGGTCAGTTTTAGGTTATGGATATTAAACCCAAATAAAATGTGTATGTAAAGAATGCGATTAATAGTTATATGTTTTCAAATTTTAAAAAAAAGCATATTACATACTATTATTTAATTGATTATAAACAAAATAAATGGTGTGTGTGTGTGTGTGTGTTTGAATAATTACATTTCGATGTTTCTAGAAGGAAATTTGGAAGGAGTTGCACCGCCGCCGTGGTTTTCTCCAAACATTGGACTGAGGGTTGAAGTAGAATGCAACTTTCTTCCACTTTTTATTTTATATACTTCTCCCTTCTTGGAATTCATGTATGCAAAGCGTGGGCTCCTTTTGCATATTTTATAAAAGCATTAGACAGAAAAAAAAAAAAGCGAATGCCTCTGGTGCCTGGGGAGCTGCACGAGGTGGTCTGGTGCGCGGGGGCCCCCAGCCTCCCGCGGCCCCGCCCCGCCCCCGCCGCCGTACCACCAGCAAGGAGAACATGGTCTGCCCCACGTTGAAGCCGTGCCGCCAGTTGTGGTAGGTGATTCTGCGGTAGCCCTTACTCAGGGAGTACATGAACCGCACCAGGGTCTGTAAACACACGCACATTAGTGAGGCAGCACGCGCGGCACCAGGGTCTCGGGGCCCTGCCTGCCGAGTCCCAGGCGCTCCAACCCGACCCTGGACCAGAAGTGGGAGCTAGGGATAGATGCGGTAAGGCTGTGAGGGCACTTTGCAAACTGCTAGACACGATGACAATGGACGTGATTATGAAACAAGGATAAATGGGAGTTGCTCCACTTACTCCACAAATGAGTTTCATCAGTGATTCCCAAACTGTGCCCCAGAGAGCTACCACCCTGGGAGAAGCTAACAGGAGATGTTCAGGAGGGAAACTGAAGGAGCATTTAAATCAGTGGTTCTCAAACTTGAATGCGAGTCAGAATCATCCTGGGAGGGGCACAGCGGGGTTGAGGGGGGCGTGTTAAAGCAGTTTCTGGCGCATTACAGCTGAGGGTGTGTGTGTGTGTGTGTGTGTGTGTGTATGCACAGCAGCAAGAGACATCTGCATTTCTGATCCATTCTCTGGTGGTGCTGATGTGGTTGGGGCAACACGTTGAGAACTGCAGCTTTAATCAAAGAACTCTGGGAAATTCTGTGCATAATACACCCCCCATCCATCTCCACCTTCTCTATCCCCACCCTCCTAGATTCACAGCACATGGTAAGAAATCTTGCAGGGGAAAAAGTTCTGCTTAAATTGATTTAACCCACATTTCCCACTGTGTTTGACTGTTAGGACCATTTTGTGCATCCCATTTATCTACAGCCTTCAGAACTCGGTGCCTCAGAACCCATCTTGAAAAACACCACAGTTCAGAGGAACCATGTGTCTCTTTTCTGATAAATGACTCATCTGTGCAACATGACTAATGCTTTAAATCCTAAAAGCTGAGGGTACATTCTTTTTAAGGCAGTTTACAGATTGAGTTATAAAAAAAAAAGCAAGCAAGAAAGAAAAAGGGAAAACAGAGAGGTTTGTTTCGACCTCACCTCCTGAGGAATATGAAATTTATCCACGACTTTGAGCTCATAATACATCTGTATTCCACATTTCACCAGCTCCAGTTCAGTCAGGGGCAAGTCGCTGAAGTGGAATTTATTAATTTCATATCTCTCTGCATCTGGCAGCTCTCCTTGCTGTGTAAGACATGGAGCTGAGTGAGTAGGGCACATGAAAAGTTCCTGGGTCTCCCCCTATCTCACCAGCTCTGTCCCTGTCCCGGGTCTGCTGGAGGGACCAGGGCAGAGTAGCAAGGGTCATGATTTCCAGAGATACTCCCCACCCCCACTGCTGCCGTGCATGCTTGGGGCGCGCCCTGCACTCATTACAGGTCAAGACCAGTGCCGCCCAGCTCACCAGGATCTCAGCCAGTTCCTCTTCTTCGCATTCCCACGGCTCCTTCCCATACACCTCTCTGGTTTTCTGCCAGGGCCCAAAATACCAGAGAAAAAAAATTAGTTTACTACATCTAAAGGCTAAATATGTCTCCACTTCTCCATTTCTTTTTTTTCTTCTTCCTCCAATTCTTGCAACAGAGCCACCAACTCAGAGAGGCTGCCATTCAATAATTATTGATGAGCAAATTCAAGGTCATGGGCTTTGGAGCCATGGAGACATACATGCAAATTCGAGCTTTGCCCCTTACTGGCAGTGTTATTTCATGCCTCAGATCCTCCATTTCCTCATCTGTAAAATGAGGGTAATAAAAGTACTGAACTGGTGTATTACATTGGATTGTGCAAAGTCATTTAAAAACATATACAACTAAATTAAATAATGCGTGTAAATCACTTAGAGCAGTGCATGGCCCATAGTAAGCCCTAGAACTAAAAAATGTTGTTGATATTCTTGTTGTTGGTGTTACTGACTAGGGGTCAGGAGGCCTTGCTCATTTTCCTAGCTCTTCCTCTCACTTACTGTGTGACTTGAAGCAAGCGCATTCCCTCTCTGGGCCTATTTCCCCATGTACCAGAGGAGGGGGGAAATCTGAAGGCAATAACGTGTGTCAGATTTCTTGATCTAGAGCCCAGGCTATTAATTTTTAACTGGTTCACTGAGGCTATGCCTCCACAGAGTCTACATATCCATTATTTGGCTAAAATCATGGACTGAGACAAGGAAACCGTGAGCTACGTCATCCAAACTGGATATTTTCTCCTTTGAATTTTTCAGTTATTAGGATCAAAATGATCAGATCTGTTGTGATATCCTCCCAGCTTAAGACATGCCCTCTGAGAACACTGCCTTGTGTTGTTTCAACTTGTATGGTCTATTAGCTAAAGTCATGGGAGCTTAGCTGGGCATCATAGCCAAAGCCATTTGGCTAATTTAATTTACTTCAAAAACCTTGATCTCTTTGAGACCAAAATCCCAGGAATGATGAGTCACTGAGTCTCACAAATCTTTGAAAGCATGTCATCCAATTTCCTACTCCAGGTAGGACTCTTCTCTGTAGCATTCCTTGTATATGATCATCCAGCGTGTGCTTGGATACCTCTCATGACGGGGTGCTCATTCCTTCCTGAGGCAGCCCTCTCATAAGAGTGACAGAAAACTTGCTTATTATCCTGATAAAGTTTAAGTGAAACCTCTTTAACAAGCTTGGTGATATGGGAACAAGTTACCTATCCCTTCTGGGCCTCAGTTTCTTCATCTCTACAATGGGGATAAATATCCTTATCCTACCCACCTTATTGGGCTATTGCAGGCATCCTAAGTGTGAAATTACCTTTTACACTGTAAAGTGATGAAACTTTGTGAGGGCTTCCTACCAACATCTAACCCCCTCTGAACTATTTCTTTGCTCAGAAAGACTGAGCCTTCTAAATGAGCTGACCTCGTGGAGGGAGGCTCTGAGAAACTGACCATTGCCCATTGGTCTGTCACATAGAGCTTCCTCTCAGAGTTGGCACTGGGATTGGTGACTCCATCTCTAGTACCAAGTTAACCCTGAGCACAGAGAGACATGGAGTTTCTAGAGCTGTTCAGCCAAGGTCTGGTCCTAAGGGTGAGGTGATCCTGTGAGGGGACAGCTGTGTCCAGGTCACACAGAGAAACCATTTCTAGAGTAGAAACAAGAAAAAAAAATAAAAACACTACCCACCAGGATTTGCTGGATTTCTTCATTGTCACACTTCACGTGATATTTGACCATGTCTTGAAAAATATCCTTCCTGTTTTCAAGTCTGTTCATTGACTCATAAGTGTCAGGATTTAAGACAGACCAGCCCAGGAATTGAGCCAAAGACTGAAAGGAAAGAAAGAATCAGAGGCAGAATCTCCAGGTCTGATCCTGCCTCTGTGACTGAGGGCAAGACTCTGTAAGCCTCCATCTTCTCAGCTATAAAATGGGTTTGATTAGCCACGTGCCCTCCTCAAAGAGACCCTGTGAGGATAAGATAAAATAACAGACAGGAGTGCACTTGGAATAAAGCTCTAACACACACAGAGCATAGTTCTTATGCATAATAACTTCACAAAAAGGGAATGGGATGGGTGTATGTAGGAACAGGGTATAAGCAAACCCTGTAATTCCTGCTGTGAACCTGAACCTTCTTTAAAAGGTAAAGTTTATTAATTTTTTTAAAGTGGAATATAGATTTCTCTGACAACACGTGGAAGTGAGCACAAAGAGAATAAATGTTGAGTCATGAAGGCATCTACAAGGTGAGCTCCCACCCTTCCACAGGTTAGGGCAGCAACGCACCAGGGCGCCACCACACGGCCCTGGAAGCCAAGTCTGGCTCTGAATCCTCACGGCCAGAGGCCTCATCACAAACCTCACCTCCATAAGGGTCTCATCCATTTCATCAAAGGGTTTCCCATCTTTGCGATTGTAAAACGTGGCCACCCCAACAATTTCCTCCTTCTTGTTCACGATTGGCATAGAAAGGACATTTTTTATCATCCATCCAGACTCATCCAGAGGCTCTTTCTGCAAGAGGAGAGCCAGAATAAGTTTGTTCGGGTACCAGGCTGCAGAGGCAGCTGTGATGGATTTTACATTGTGCGTCAGGACCCTGATTGGCTGAGGGGGGTGGCAGGAGGTTAGACTTCATTGGATTTTGCATGGTTTCAGTCACCAAAAGCCACGAGCAGGTTGCTCATCAGATAGCAATGCTGTTTTCATCCCCAAGCTGTCAGGGCTGTATGTGCCAGGCAGTGAGCTGTGGGCTGAGGATTTAATGATGGACACAAACAGTCCAGGGAGGCAGTGTTTCCATTTCAGACATAGGAGCCAACTGCAGAGGACTGACTTAAAAGAGGCCATGATGGTGACGCTTATAACTCTGAACTAATCAACAACATATAACCTGCACCTTTTGCCTTTTGACCTGTCTTTCTGTGTCCCTTTTGTGGTTTTTGTTTTTTTTAAGTAACTGCTAACTTTTTTAAAAAAATTGAAGTATAGTTGATTTGAATGTTGTGTTATTTTCAGATGTACAGCAAAATGATTTGGTTATATGTATATATATGTATATATGCATATATGTATTTGATAATATGTGTGTGTGTGTGTATATACATATATTCTTTTTCAGATTCTTTTCCATTATAGGTTATTGCAAGCTATTGATACAGTTCCCTGTGCTGTACAGTAGGTCCTTGTTGGTACTCTTCCTTTTGGCATGTCATTTTATCTCCGTGGGCCTCAATTTGCTCATCTATAGATGGGGACAGTAGTAAGAATATGTGCTTCATGGAACAAATGAGGATATAGAGGTGAAATTTCTTGATCAATCTTAAGGTACTTCTTGTGTGTGATTTTCCATCTGTCTGCACCTTACTTTCACCATTTATAAAATGGCATAACTAGACTAGGTAATTTCTACACTCTTTTCCCACTGATTCATTAAAGATTTATCAAATATTTTACTATGTACCAGAACCTGAGCTAGAAGCTGGAGAACCCAAGGCAAATGAGGCACAGTTGTTGTCCTCAGGCCGCTTCCCATCTGGAAGGTAGACAGGCAGTTACAGTGCAGGTGGGAAGTTCTCTAAGGTACTGTGAGAGCCTGAGGATGGAGGGAAGTCAAGGAAGGCTTCCTGGAGTTGGAGAGTCTTCCAGCTCACAATTTCCAAGAAGGTGGTGAGATGATAATTATTATTTGGGTAACACTGAACTCAGTACCTGGTAGGAGAGTGGCTCCAGAAGGATGTAGAATATGGTCCAAAGAACACAGGGCTGTCACCAGGAAACTTGAGTCTCAAGGCCTGCCTCCCCTACCACTCTCTACCTAATCTTTGGGGAGCTGGGGAATCCCTTCCAAACTGCAATTCATCATATGGCTTGGGTAAAGACCAAGTTCTCTTGTGATTCTAATCACATTAGCAACGCCCAGCAACAATTTGGGCTTGGCCCATTCATGTGGTCACAATCACAACACAAGATGCACAGTTTTAACCTTGGAAGTTTGTTTGATCTAAGGTCTTTCATAATGTTCTTTAAGGAGTAAAGGAAAAAAAATCGTTAATTTGGCTGAGTCATTCTTATTTCCTTCTCAGTTATCTCCAGATTGCTCATGATTTGCTTTTTGTACACCTCACATGCTAAATTCAGCAAATATTGACAGGGCACCTTAGTGGAAGATGTCAAGAAAGATAAGACCCAACCCTTGACCAAAGAAAACTGATATTTTGCCAAGAGGAATTGACCTAAAAGACAAGGAAGGATCATAAAAGATGAGGTAAGGGAAATATATTAAGAGAGGCAAACTCCTTGCCATGGCTTTCCAGGCAGTGTGTGATCTGGCCTCTGTCTCCCTCTCTAGGATTTCCTCCTGCCACTGTCCTGCCCAGTCTCACTGGTGTGCTCTAGTTCCTTCCAACAAGCTGCCCTCTCTTTCCTGCTGTCCTCTCTCCTTTCTTTACTGCTCAAAGTCTCAGGGACACGTTCCTTGAGTCCTCCCAGATTAATCTCTCCCCCTGAGAGATTCCTTCTTCTGTCCCTCTTGCTCTTTTCCTGACCAGCACTCCATGTGCCTCTCTCCCCGTATGATCATGAGCTCCCTAAAGACAAAGACCACGCCTATCTGGTCCTACACTGGAGCCAGTGTCAGCACTGTGCCAATGCCTGACCCAGACCATGCCCTCCACAAACAACTTTTAAAAAGCCAAACAAACAATATCAAATGGAATACTAAACAATATTCCATGGTAATCCTAAGGAGATAGAAATGATATTCAGCCAGGGGAAACAGAATAAAACTTCATAGAAGCTTCATAGCTTTTGAGGTTGTCA